AAAAATTTAAAGAATAAACCACTCAACTTTTTAAAAAATTAAATATTTTGCAAAAGAAATCATTACAAAAACATTGTTTGAGAGTCTCTGAGGAGCAGAAATAATCTATTATGTAAATTTGGGTGCTTAGAACACTATTCAAAGATGCCTGCATCTGGCTGGCTAATTTGCTGCTGTTGTGGAATGCTTACGTCTAGTTAGGTCAAAGTAGGGGATCTTCTCCTGGTAAGGCTGCGAAAAATGAAACTTCTTAAGCTTTTTCACGGGTAATTTCTAATGCCTCTGATGGAGTCCAAGAATCTGTATTTTAGAAATTATCCCCGTGCTTGCTTTAGTGGTGGATATACACAAGTGGAACAATACAGAGGAGATTAGCATAGTGCTAGGCGAGGATGACATGGGAATTTGTGTTTGAAAAAGTCACAGATGATTCTGGTGCAGGCTGTCTGAGAATCACACTTTGAGAAGGAGGAAGATGTTTTCTGGTTAAATTATGACTAGTGCCATCCATGTGATTCATTTTATTGAAATCAACGTTAGAAGATTTTGGAATCAGTCTAGAATAAATACAATTTTCAAACTTTATTTGTGCCTCTAATTAATTTTTAATGCCACATTTTGAGTTAGGTATTGAGTTCTAATTCTAACTCTACTGGACATTCAAGTATGGACAAATTATATACCAAGGTTAGACTGTAAAAGTAAATATTTGGATGTTCATCCATAGGATCTTCTGACTAATTTCCATTATCTTTCATGTATAATTGCTAAGGAGAGCTGATACCATTTCTTAAGTTAAACCTTGACTGATTACCCAATTAGCAAGTGAGATATAAGAAGTTGCTCAACAAGGCATCAGCCACATGCAAAGTTAGAATTGCAGATAGTTATGCTGACACTTGTTTAGCCTGTTTCTGATAGGGGTCCTGACTATTTCTCGTTATATGGACATTAACAGTGCTGTCAAAGTAAATTTTTCATCTGAAATTTGGAAAAGAGTTTTGTGGTCTCATATTAAATAAATGTAAAAGTAAACTTAGTAATAGAAAATGGTAATGAGATACTCTCTGGAAGTGGGTTGGGGAACGTTTTCTGGAATGGGCAAGATGGTAACTACTCCAGCTTCACACGCCTTCCTTCTCATTTCTTCTTCCTCTTCTTCCTCCTCCTCTTCTTTCTTCTTCTTTCTCCTCTTCTCTTTTCTCCTCTCATTCTTTTAATAACATTTTAAACATATAAAATCATTCTTAGCTTAGGGTCATAGAACGCTGATTACAGCAGGGCTCTCCACCTTCAGCGTGTGCACACAACCGCGGGGGGATCTTGTTAGAGTGCAGAGTTGGATTTCACAGGTCTGCAGTTGGGCCCCAAATCCTATATTTCCAGTATGTTTTTTGAAGGTGTCTGTGTTACTCATTGGGGGGGGGG